ACCCATGGGGTCAACCCTAACCTAAACATTTAGGGTTAGGGTCTAGCACTTGACAACCCAACCCGAAATCCAACACAACCCAAAATCAACCCGAAGTGTCTTTGACCCAACCCACCCAACCCAATTGCCATGTCTAAAAATGGGAGATTTTTGTTGCAAACTACATCAGTACTACCACTTACTCGTGTGTGCATTATATTCAAGCAATACCAAACAAATGGGCGAAAAAAGTGACTCTGAGCTTTCCTCAAGCAAAAAAAAAAAAAAAGAAAAAGTGAAAAAAGAGACTTTGTGCAATTGACTAACGACATCAATTGTAGGTCGATCATGTTCTTGAAGAGAAAACATAACCTATGAGGCTATGACTAGGATTGTAGAATAACTCAACGACCCACATCAGTGTTTTAATCGGGCACTGGGTTGATGTGATATTGTCTTTTTCATCAAATACGAGCATGTTCAAAAATCAGTGGGGTCGTTGAGGAGTTCGGCTTCGGTTAGGGCAAAGCCCGTTTGAGCAGCCTTTATTGCTTTGCATCGCGAATATCTTCATACTTCTATGTTTTATTTCATGGGGAGATATTCTCAATGCAAGATTGCAAGAAGTTGTTGAAACGGAGTGGGCACGGGCTGGCCCTGACAAAAGTTGATCTCATTGTTGAGTTGTTCTGCTACCAGGGTTGCAGGTAATGTGTTGTCATTCTTTAAGGTTCACTGCTCCACTTTGTACATGCCAGTTCTGTGTCGCTACCTAAAAAACCAATGTTTTAATTTGAAAATAAATACAGAGTTTAAACTATTTTTGCCTCAAACTTGCAACTCAAACTCTATGTATGTATGTATGAAGATGAATTTTATTAATAAAATAATTTAAAATTATATTATACATGTAATATATTATATATAGATATACATATTATTTTGTGTTTAGTTTATATTTATATTTTGGGTTTTAATTTTTATTTATAAAAATGTTAAAAATTAGACATGAAGCTAGAAAAAAGATATTATTTGGCAAAAATAGCGGGGCAAGGGACCACATGTACATCTTGAAAAATTACGCTTACAATATAAAAATCATCCCAATTGGAAAATTAAGCATAAAATTATGACCTTTGGAAGTTTGCATACTAATTAAGCACTTGCGTTGTATGTGAGAAAATTTTCTTCATATTAATTACCTGAATTTTAAATATATCATAGTTACGATAGAAATTGAAAATTAATAAAAGTAACAATATGATTAAAAACATACTTAAATGCTTGTAGTAAATGTGCATGTGCATTGCATGTAGAAATTTTAAATTACAATAACAATTATTATTATTATTATCATTCATATTAGTTTTAAATTATATATTTCATTTGCATTATATAAATAATTTATACTTATCACACTTAATTTTTGGTTGATATAATTAATATATAATGTTATATATTATTTTGATTACTTGTACTTTTTTAAATTTTAAAGATTTGTTATTTAACAATCATATCATTCATTAATCCATTTAATACAAACCACTAACCCACCACCCAAAAAGGAAAATAGTTTGATTCCTAGGTTGACATTAAGTTTTGTATTATATATCTATCGTTGATAAAATTATTTCTAATGTATAATACTTGTTTTTGTTCAATATAATGAATGTATATATTAAAGGTGTACCCACTATTATATTTTTTATAAATATATAATATTAAATATGGAGCAAGGTTTAGTTGTTTAGTAGGCTGTGGAACCAATGATAAGGTTCCACGATAGTATTAAATACATGGAGCCCACATCTTTTATATTGGGGCCCATGAATTTAATACTAGCACGGAACCTCATTATTGGTTCGACAACTTGCTAAACAACTAAAGCATTTAGCTAATTCGAATTCTTAAATATGTACCAAAAATTTTCTCTATTTTTTTATTTTTATTTTTGTGTTGTATTTTCTATTTTTAAAAATTTATTATTTGACTATTACATCATTTCATTGCTATGTTGATTTTAAAATTGGCATTAAATTTTCATCATTAATAAAAACGGTTCTTACATTTCATATTTATTTTTGTTTAGTATAATGAATATGTAATATTAGATGTATGCCAAGTTATTTTTATTTTTGTATATTATATATTTTATATATTTTAATTTTTTGTTATTTATTATGACATTATTTATTAATCCATTTGATATCAAATGGTAGAATTGCTTACCCACCAACGGGAGGGAAGAAAATGGTTTTGTTTTCAAATTACTTTTTAAAATATTTATTTTTATACTATTAAAATTAATGTTATAGATTTAATTATTTAATGATGAGAAAAATATATCTTAAATATAAGATTTAATGAGAGAATGTACCTTAGATATGATATTTAATGAGAGAGAATAGGAAAATAGTTTTATTTCCACTTGGTTTTAAATTTTACATTTCATTTTCATCATTAATAAAAACATTTTTTATTTATCATACTTATTATTGTTTAATATGTTGAATATATAATGTTAAAAATGTTCATTTTTTTTTAATTTCTATATTTTTACATTTTATCTATTTTTGAATTTTATTATTTAATTGTGACAATATGGATTGACCCATTTGACCCAAAATGGTTTAATTTCTTACCACCATGTAAATGAAAACACTATTTTTTTTTCAGGTAGATTTTAAAAATATAAGTTTTTATGTTATTGAAATTGTTAATTTATTAGATTTGGATTTAATTAATAGAATTTAATAATAAAAAAAAACAAAAGTACCTTATATCTATCTATCTATCTATTTATCTATCTATCTATATAGATATATAGATAGGTCAAGATTCATTCAAAAAGCTGCTCAGGATTACAGTCCGTCTGTAAAGTAGAAACTAAAAAAAGGGGGATACAAGACCATTCGGATCTAGAATTGTGATTTGGTGACCATTTAGATTGCGTAGAAAACACTATAGAAAAGCCAAGAAATTGAGCCAAATTTAAGTAATGAAATAGCAACTAGCCATACATACAACCGAGACATAGAAAACATTTCTATGATATGATATTTAGCCTTCTAAACATAAATTGGCAGTGGAGGTGTAAATCGAACTAAGTGGCCCTACCCATCTCGATGGTTAGCACGGCCTGGTACAATTGTATGAGCCATATTAGGCTTGGGGTTTCAAGTCTACGGGCTGAACTGATACAACTCACAGTGTGGGTTGTGCTGCCTATGACTCGCAGCACGGCCCATATATATTCATATATATTATATATATTTTATTAATATAGTTATATAGTATATATTATATATAATATATTTGGTAAATTACAAGACCCCCTGTACTATGACCGTGAGACAAAGACCCCCCTCTATTAGTTTTTTGTTAAAATTCACCATTACAATACTTTTTAATCTTCATACTATCATTATAATATCTATTTAGGGCAATTAAGAGAAAACTACTATTCATCTTCCCTAACCTTACGATACACAAAAAGCAACTGCAGTAATCTCTTTTAAAAATAGGGATTGGGATTACCGCCGCTAAGAGTAGCAGTAAAAGAAGAGCTAACCGAATCCTAATCCCAATCCATTCTTCTGCCGATTGTCGATACATATAAAATAGAGGACGCCACTTCCATCTCCTCCACCGTCTCTCTCTCCTTCTCCTCCTCCCTTACGAAAATATCTTATTCTGAAAAAGGCCATAAATTAAATTAATATAATAAATGAAATGAAAGAATCTTCTCTTTGAAATCTCCGAAAAGGCATTTTAATCATGTAACTCCAAGATTGATAAACACTGAACATTATTTATTAGCGGGGCTAAAAGCGTATTGTCCAGATCTTTCCACAACCTTCCTATTTCCTGTGGGCGTTTCTCTTTCTCATCGTCTTTATATTTTTACCTTTCCGTCTTTCACCCCCTTTCTCTATTCCTTAATAAATATCTAACAATCGTCATCGTCATCTCTCTCGTTGCCTCTTTCTTCAACTGATTTCTGATTTTTTTCCTCTATCATCCATGGCCTTCTAACCAAAAATGTCCGAGGCATCATTTCTGAATCAACTAATCAGTAGTAGAAATAGAGATCTCTCTCTTTCTTCCTCCTGTACGGGGTTTCACGAGCTCACCGAGGAGAGAATCCGATGACCCTGATCTGGAAAGTGAAGGACGGAGCCATGAGCGGAACCCTTTCATGCAAGGCATGGTCTTCATTGAAGGTGCTAGAAGGGGTTTTTTGTCTCCGTCCTTCACGATATACGAACACGAACATCATCAGCGGCACTTAGAAGGGATTATCGCCGCTGCTGTTCGTGTATCCGTCGGAGAAGATAAATAGTGTATTATTCAAATAGATATTATAAGGGTTGCATGAGAATTAAAAAATATTATAACGACGGATTTTAACAGAAAACTAACGGAAAGGGGTTTTTGTCTCACGGTCATAGAACAGAGGTCTTTGTTGTAAAAAAAAGTATAAGGATTTTTTGTCACGGACCCATATTACAGGGGGTCTTTATAATTTATCCTAATATATTTATATAAATTATAATTATATAATAATATGTAATATATAATATATTAATAAAATAAAAAATTATTTTTAATTTTATTATACTATTTTATTTAATTATTATATAAATAAATAATTGTATACATTAAAATTTATATAAAATAAAAATTTTAAGATTTTTTTTAATTTTTTTAAATAAGTAACTTTAACTCAATCTACGGACCAATTCAACCCGTGGCACAACATGCCATGCAACAGGTCCGTACAAATTCGAACCTTGGACCATACCGGACTGACTCCCAAAATATCACAGGCACGGCCAGGCCAACACTTTGGCCGCACGTGGACTGTGCCGTACCGGTTCAGTACGGCGCGTTTTACACAGTGGCCACTGGCCAGGGCCCAGTGGGTGGTTGAGCATATACGATATATGTTTTTTACTCATTTCAGATCACGTGCTTACAACCTATAATACCCGGTAACCCGGTAGCATACAGCCGAGAGACCAACCAGATGGTGTGCTGTGTCCCACGGAGGGAGCTCCCAAACAGGAAACAGCCCAAGCTGTTTGTCCCGAACAGCCAAAGTTTTCTCGTTGTGTTGTGTGGCTCACAGTTCGCGCCATATCATACAGCATTTTCATAATACACGGCACACGGGTTTGAGATGAAAGAGTAAAGGAATAAGAGAGGGGAAATCCTTCTGCTACGGTGCTGAAAAGTGAAAAGAAAGGAGGAATCGTGTGCAAGAAGAAGAAGAAGAAGAACAATAGGAAGACAAGCAAAAAAATATGGAAGAGTCGACTCTGGGAGAACCGACCGGTAAAATTTTGTTGAAGGGTTTTATATATTTACCTGTCTATTTTCATAACTGAAATGCACTAGTCTAGTTCGTTTATGTACATTTAGTTTGATTGGTTAAACATAGACTCTGGGAATCTGCATTTGTATAAGCAGCAACGTTTGCTTCTGTTTGATATGCAAATTTTTGTTGATTTTTTTATATATCTTTACCTATACATTTTTGTAACTGAATGCGCTAGTCTAGTTCGTTTGTTTACATTTAAATTGAAGACACACACTGGGAGACTTAATAATGTTAATCACCTATAATTCTATAGCTAAATTCTGATGGTTAATGTTGTTAGATGTTGGCCTATATTTGTTAACATTTGAATATATCAATTGCTGTACAGGACTACCGAGTTCCTATAGGTGATTGCTAAAAGTTATCGTCGTCTTCAAAACACAAAGCCCTAAAATAGTCATCATATTGGACTATAGAGGTTAACCCACTTTTGTCCAAATGCAATGCTTCCAAGGCACTACTCCTAGTTGCTGACTTCTCTAGTATGTTTTTATTTGAGAGAATTATTTCACACTCCCTATGAATAAATATGACATTGAGTATAAGCTTCCCTTCCAGATTCTTTGTGGCAATTCTTAAAGAATTTGCTTTTCCTACATCCATCCATAACTATCTAATCAACATAAAAGTTCAACCAATGGTTGTGATTTTGTTCTAATCTGTTAAAAATCTGTTATTCTTTAAGTTCAGTACCGCATGGGTACTATTGTATTTTCTATATCTTTTATTTTTGTTTTATGTCGCCCATGTATAAATACTAAAAGCTGGTGCCGCCAGCATGACTTTTGACTCTCAATCTCTCTTCTCTCTTCCTTTCTTCTCTTCTGAATAACATGGTATCAGAGTGGGACTATCAGATCTGAAAGGAGAGATCGAGCAAGCTTCTTTTGTGTCTTCTCCCTTCGCCGGTTACTGTTTGGTTTATTGAAGATCCAGATTTTTTTTCTCTGCATCGGACTGAAGTACCTTCTCTCCCTTCCTCGTTCCTCCTTTTTTCTGGCCGTGTGCCAGGACAGAACCTGTAGTAGGTTTGCTTGTTGGATGTGAGGTGATCAGCACCTCTTTCTTTCCTTTTTATGTGGGATCGGCCGATCCCTGTGTAGTTTGTAGGTCGGTGATGACCTTTATATGCTGCGATAACAGCCTTATGATGGATGTGTAGGTCAGGGGATGACCTGTATATGCTACGACAGCAGCCATATCTGATTTATTATAGGCCAGTGATGACCTGTTAGTGCTGTAACAACAACCTTTTTTGATTGAAGAGTGTGACCTGAAACTGTGATCATGAGTGGTGAAGATTCTGCCACATCTGGTGTTTCCTCAATGTAGAATGGAATGAGTGGGGAGGGG